ACTCTTTCCACTGCATTCCCTTCATCCACCCAGTTACTTTGTCAAAGAAAATTGTTCTTAACAAATTAATGATGGTTGCTAGCAGTAGAGGATCTAGGATTTTGAAAAGGATGGTGTGGAGGAAAGCAGAGAGCCACAGCAATGGAGAGCAGTGATGTCACTGCCTGTAAATGTTTTACAAGTTCTCCTCTATGCTGCAAGAATAACTGAATACTTTTTGAGGGGTTAACACTGGGTTTCTCATGTGAAACAGAGGTTGACTCCCTTCTGTAAATGCAAATTAAAATTCAGCCTGCATTACAGACTGGTCATGATCACCTTCAGAATACCTAATTTGATGTGTTGGGGGGGGATAGCCATTTGTCCTCTTGAGTCATACTTGGATTTTGTTTCTGTTGTTTCCTGGGGCCAGGCAGACTCTGGGATGTTTTGTTCCTGTGGGGAGTCTTGCTGAGATTGGGGCAGGGATTTTGTGGGGGACTGTTAGCTCTGGCCCAGATACAGTGATATTGTAACTGGGGTAGTCTTCCCAAGTCAAATGTCAACTGTAGGAAGAGAGCAGTAGGACGAGAGTGACTGGGAGATCCAAGAGTTGACCACTTGCAAGCACAAGGCCTTTTGTGCTTGGCAAAACAGCACCAGCTCCAAGCAAAAGAAACTGAATCATCAAGGCAGAGGTCTAACATGAGACCTGAGATATGAAGAACAAATGGTGGGAAGACCAGGTAAAATAAATTCAGCATCTTGCTGACATCCACAATATGCCCAATTTCTTCAGTGCCACCAAAACCACTTATGGTCTGAGTACTTGGGGACCAAACCGCTTGAGACCTAAGGAGGAAGGAGACCTGATCCAGGAAAGATGAAACATCAATGGCCATTGGAAGGAGCATTTTGAAAACCTTCTCGAGATTCTGCTGTTGACAACAGGGTTCTCAACTCCATCCTGCAAAACCCAGTCAGAGATGATCTCAGAATCCCACCCCCAGTCCTTGACAAGGTGAGGAAAGCCATCAAGCAGATGAAAACAAGGCATCTGGAGTGGATGGAATACCTGCTCAAATCTTAAAATAAGGAGGAAAGGAGCTCACATCATGGCCTCGTGCCCTCATCTTAAGGATCTGGAATGATAAGGAAATCCCAGATGACCTCAGGGACACCATGATTGTGACGAGAAAGGATCTTCAAGGAAGACCAGTCTCGCTGCCGAAACAATGAAGGGATTGCCTTGCTGTCTAACACAGGAAAGATCATTGCAAGAACCCTCCTGGACTGTCTCTTTCCACTTGCTGAAGAGATCCTCCCAGAACCTTGGTGTGGGTTTAGGGCATCAAGAGGCACAACTGACATGATCTTCACAGCTCACCAGCTGCAGGAGAAATGCCGGGAACAATATAAGTTTCTCTACATGGCCTTCTTTGAACTCAAAAAAGCTTTTGACTCTCAGCTGAGAAGTGTTGTGGAGGATCCTTCTTAAGTATGGATGCCCACCAAAATTTGTCACCATTCCCTACCTGTTCCCTGTTGGTATGTCTCAGTATTGGATCTATCACAGATCCCTTTGAGGTTAAAACAAGTTAATCAAGGCTGTGTCATCACCAGGGATCCTGGTTTTCTCTGATTTTTTGTTTTTTTGCAAATTTTCTGGGGGGCTTTTTTGGTTTTTTTTTTTAAACCCAAAAGCCATGATTAGAAGTAAAGCCCCCCACACAGCCCCCTTGGCCCTCCTGGTGCCCCTCACTCCCTTCCCACAGCCTCCCAGCCCTGCTTTTGCCCTTAAACCAGCTATCGGCATTGGCTGCAAAAATCTCTCTCTGTGCACCCCTAAGAAGTACCATCAACACTGCCTGTGGAAGAGTCTATGAATCCAGTGGAAAGACAGATGCACCAACATTAGCATCTTCCTGCAAGCAAACACCATGAGTATTGAGGTGATGATCATCCAACACCAACTTTGTTGGGCTGGCCACATCATCTGAACATCTTGGCTCCAGCCTCCTGAAGCAAGTTTTATTCTCCCAGCACAGCCAAGGTGTACACTCAAGAGGAGAGCAGAAAAAGCACTTCAGGGACTTCCTCAAAGCCAACTTAAGAAAATGCAATATCGAAGTCTCCCTCAAGTTGACAATCGCCCAGGACTACTGCATATGGAGGAAGAAGGGATTAAGAATCCAGTGCCACCCACCCCACATGGAAATGCGTGTGCAAGAGACAGTAGAGTCTGATTCTGGATAAGCCTCATCAGCCATCTTCAGGCACACAGGTAAAACAATCATGGAAGACAATCATCCTCAGTTGCGAGGGATTGCTGAAGAAGAAGAGAAGAAGCAGTTAGGGTCAGGCCCACACCAAGTGTAGTTGGTGACAGGAGCTGAGCTGAGCTCCTTTGCATTGGCCATAGCCAGTGAAGTGGGGTGAGGTTCCTTTAGCGCTGTGTGGTCAGCCAGGGGAAGTGAGCAGGCTGCTGTAATGCAGGGTGTGGCTGGGAGGATAGATTGGCTGTTTGAGAGAATTAAACTGGATTTTTTTTAGTATGTGGTGCAACTGGGGTGGGCAGAATTTCGAGATTAAGGACAAGGACAGTAATGCACATTAGGACTGCTCTTGCAGCTCTCCCCAGGACTGTACTGGATCAGCTATAAGTGGCTTCTTTCTCTGAGTTCATCATAGACCTGGAATAGGTAGGTAGGGTGTGGTCCTATTCCTGGAAAAAGCAAGGGAGAGGCTGGGAGGCAGGTCCTCAGGTTGATGAGCCTTTTGTGAGCATTCTGAAGCCAGTGGCAGAGTGTCATCATGACTGCCTCTTCTAATCTTTCACATATAGGCTGGAGAATCAGGAAATCCATCACTTGCTTGAGCTGGAGTGAGCTGAAACCAAGACAGGATATCTTTCTAGAGGCTCCACAAGATGTAGGATCCTTCAGCATCACCATGTTCTAACATTTCCTCACCTTTGCTGCTTAACATGCACAACCTTCACATCTAAGTCTTGACTTCTAAGTGTTTCATCTTCCAGCTGTTGGATCCCATTCTGCCATCTTCAGCTATGTTAAAGAGCCCTGTGCAAAAGGAAAAATTTATTTCTCCTACAAGTGCTTGCAGGTTGCCTTCACGTTATGTCTTAACCTGCCTTGGATAAACTCAGCAGACCCAGCTTTTTCAGCCCACCACAGCAATAAGGCAAGTTCTCTACCCACTGAAACACCCTGCTGGTTTTCCTTCTACACCCTTTCTGACTGCCAACACCCTTTAACAAGGTGGCTATCAGCACTGGATGCAGAGCTGGCACTGCTGAGGCTGAATGTGAAAGAGCCACGTCTGCCCTCTCTGCCACAAGGTCCCAGCAGGCACCTATGCTGTTTCTTAACCACCATGCCCCTTAATAGGTAACAAAGAAGTGGGCTGCGAGGGACATCCAGCCCCATGCCTGAGGCAGGACTACCCCATCCATGCACCCCAAATCCATCCCACACAACCATGATCTTTGCAACCTTCCCCCCTGAGGAGCTGCTAGCAGCGCCCCAGTCCCTTCCCCCACAGGCCGGGCAGTGGAACGTGCCCCGCCGCCGCGGTGCCTCAGGGCATGCTGGGAAGAGGCCGCTTCGGCGAAGCCGCCATGTTGGATTTAAAGGGGCGGCCCCGGCGCCGGCGCCTGGTCGGCTGAGGGAGACACTTTCCGTCCGCGGGCGCCGGTGGCGGCAGCTGCAAGGGGAGAGCCAAGCCGGAGGCGGCAGGCGGGGTCGGGTGAGTGCCCTCCATCCCCGGACGGACGGAGTGGTGGTCGGCCGCGGGCGGCTTGTATTGGCGCGGTAGCGGGAGGGCCAGGCCGGGCGGGCTCGGGGCTGCGGCGCGGCGGCCCCCCGCCCGCTTCCCCGCGCCCTCTCCCTTGCCGGGGGAGGAAGAAAGAAGGCTTAGCCTCGCCTCGGGGCTGCGGTTGGGAAGGGGCTGCCCTGGGCACAGCTTTCCATAGCCCCTAGGGTCAGACAACATGAGAAGCTGAAGGGCCCTCCGGAGGACACTCAGTCCAAGCCCCTGCTCAAGCAGGACCAGCCCCAACTACATCATCCCCGACCCAGGCTTTGTCCACCTGGGTCTTAAAAACCTCCAAGGATGGAGGGTGCATCTCTGCTCTGGGTAGCTGGTTCCAGGGCTTCACCACCCTCTTCCTGAGAGTTTTTCCTAATATCTGACCTCAGCTTCCTTTCACATGGGTTTCTTGCACCTTCCTTGGAAGCATCAGGACCTGGTTGCTTGCATCAGCAGGAGCAGGACCACTAGCTGGCTCCTGTCTCTCATTTTGTTGAGCCTTGACCTCCCTCAAGCAGGACAGCAGCGCTGTCGTAAGGGCTGAAAGTAGAGTTATATAAGGGGTCCCAGGAGCAAAGTAGTAGGGTGAAACTCAGAAAAATGCAGGGATTGTTGGGAAAAGCTTTCCCTGGCAAAGTTTAGCCTAGTTCCTCAGCCTTGCAAAGGAAGAGGGCAGCCCTTGTGCTTGGAATGCATAAAGCTAGACTGGAGCAAGCCCTGAAGAACAGGGACTAATCCTGGTTGTCATGGGGATGGACTACATGGGACCTAATGAAGCTCTTCCATCTCAGGCATTTTAGATTTTGATCTGGGGAATATAATGCATGTTGCAGGCAGAAATATCCCCAGCTCAGGAGAGCATCTAACCCCAATGTCCTTGTAGCATGTGACCAAGACTACATAGTATATAGTACAATGGCAGGGGAGACATGGCAGAACCAGGAAAAGACCAATTCCTCTATCTGTCCTGCTGCATATGTGGTTGGGTAGAGACCTTAATTATCAGGGACAAGGCAGAGTTTGGATTAGGAAGCACCAAGTCCCTCTGTTGGAAGAAAAGTCCTCAAAGCTGGGGTGGAGGTTGCTGCTGATGTTGGAGGATGGTGATCCATCTTTGGGGTCTGTGCCCAAGTAGCTCACTTCCTTATTGGGAAGATAGTAATCAATGTATTTTACCCCACATTTGCAAGTGTAAGAACTAGGGTGGACTGAACCGGCAGAGATGTAGTCCACTGGGAGCCAGGGTGTCCCTGGTGTGTTGGACCGGTGGATACGCACCACTTTGACAGTCATCAGAAGCTGTGGTCAGCAGTTCCTTCCCTAGCCTCTGATGGCTGAAGGTTCCTTGCTGACTGCTTTTGGCCATACTCCATATTGTGCCCTTCAACTTTATCCTCTGAATTCCTTCCAGCTCCTGCTGTGTAACATTTTAGCAAGTTAGTTGTGGAGCATCACTTGGGACTGTGGTCTCTGTCCTAGATATGCTTCATCCTCCTCTACCCACTCCAATTCTCCTCCATCCTGGAAGTCCCTTCTTGGTATTGACGGTGCTCCTCCTTTGCAACAGAAGAGGGTAGGGATACATGCTTTAGGTGGAGGGCAGACTCTAGCTAGCCTATTGAGGAGATGCAGAAACAGGAGCCAGGGAACACTTCTGAGAAAGCAGGATGCCTCTTAAAAGACATGGCTGGGGGTTCATTTAAGTTGAAGGAATTGCTTGCTAGTGAATGCTCTTTGGGTATACTAGCAAATATGAGCTCAGTGCAGACCAGCCCTTTGCCCTGCATGCTGCTGTCTAAAAGTGAATATGATGGAACCTGTAGTAGGTGTGCAGTTTAATTTACAAAACTTTTCATAATAAAGCTACTAATTTCATAAAACCTCATATATATGTATATTTATGGGGGTGGTAGGGTGGTAATGGGTTTACTTAGGTGGGTGACAACTGTGACCATCTCTGTAAGGTTATACTGCAGGGTTTTGTTTTTGGTTTTGTTTTTAAGAAACCATTCCAACTAATGGCTCTGGATGCAACTATCTATCCATCTACCAAGTGCCCTGTCTCTTTCTAGAGACTGATGGTCCCACATGCCTTTATTGGCCAAGGTGGATAGAACTTTTTAAATAACCTATGTGTAGTTAGTTGGCTCATTGATTTTAATTACTACTAAATGAGTATAAACATAGTTTATTTTAATCTGTTTTTGCATTTATCCTATTTAGTTTTCTAAGGAACTTTTGGTTGGTAACCATTACAACATGTTGATTTACAGTTAAACAACAGTCTCTGTACTGACTGGTACTTTTTTCTAACCAGAAGGATGTGTTAAAATTGATATGTATTCACTTTGCCAGTTATAGCTAACCATATATGTATTTGGGTTGTAAAGTTTTACATTTGTTCGGAAATGGTGAATGGCTCAGCTTTTATCTATTGGGTGATCAGTCCCCTTAGTCATCGTGAATGTTGGGCTCATTTTGGATGGAACCTGACATGTTGCTAAAATGCACGCACAGCTTTATAAAACCAATACAAGAATCTTAAAATAATTTTAAGTGTACTGTATAATACTTTTTGTATTTAAGAAGTTAGTTTTAGACAAAGGAAGCCTTATCCCTGGTTGGCTGAACTGTTTCCAACTACTGTGTTCTTAACTTTGGAGGTAGTGGGATCTCTTCCTGTCTTGCTTTATTTTATCCGTAGATGGGAAAGGGGTGGGAAAAGTACTTTTTGCTCTTCCTACTTCCAGTGATTTCTCAACTTGGAATGAGTTAGTTGAATAAACCTAAAAAGCAGAAAATAGCCTCTAGATGAAGCAACTGCTGTCAAAAGCTGGTTTAGCATTTCAGCAGACTCTTGTTTCAGACACTTAGCCTATGATTTGATGAGCTCAGTGGTTTGACTTTTCTTTAGCAGTGAATGCAAACTGCTTACTACTGTCAGTATAATCAAATAACATTTTAGAGATTAATACTGTCAGAATTCTAAGTGTAATTTTTAAATACCTTATTTGCATGTTTTTTAATTTTCCTTTTTTATTTTCATCTGTGGTTTTATCTGATCATGAGCTTGATCATAAACACTGCTCTAAATATTCTGGGAATTGACTGCAGATGGAAATATTATGCATTCTACAGAGATGCTGACTCCCTTCTATCCTCTGGCAATGAATAAACCAGCTTTGGCAAGCAAGGGTCCATGGATCTGTGGCCTAAATGTGTAGAGAGGGCTGGATGAGCATGGCCTATATATGGAAGATGAGGATCTCCTTGTGATGGGCAGGCAAATTGGAAAGAGAGAATGGGACTGGATAAGTGAAGTTTCTGGGCTCTGCATGGAGACTGGGTTGTGATATATTACAACCTTTTTACTGTAGCAAGTAGCTGTGAAGGGTGGGATGAATCTGTTTGATTTGCATGTGAAAGTAAGATGTTGATACATGGTTAATAACTGACCTGTGAGCTAGAACCACTACCATAAACTATCCTCTCAGGGGGCCATGAGTAGGTTTCGGGGGGGGTCTATGGGGGCTGCAGATCTGGTGCTATCATGATCTCTGAGGTTAGCTGGGGCAGACCATGCCCAGGCTGAGCCTGCTGCCACTGCTGCTGCCAGGATCACAGAAAAACGTGGATTTTCTCTCTTAAAGGGGAAACATGCAGGAAACTGGGTTTCCTCTTGCTGGCTGGCAGGGTTCCAGCTTGCAAAGGGGCTGCCTGGGACTGTGGTGAGTGGGAGGAAGCAAATCTGGCAGGGGTTACCATATGCATGTGTGCATGTGCACCCACAGTTTTTGCACCCACAGTGGGCACAGGACTGCAGCCTGGCTGAACCAGCTAGTGGGACGTGGTGTAGGAAGGCAGAGTGGGGCAGCAAGACTTGTTGTCCCAGCCAGCTGTGAAGGGGTAATGGGGGAGGAGGCGTGCACTGCCCTCACCTTCTGCTGCTGGAGAGGGGGTGGGGAGCAGCGCAGGTGGTCTGAGGGGAGCAGCGGCAGCCAGGCCATGCCCTCGTCCCTTCTGTGGGTTGGGACTGAGGGGCACAAGCAAAGCCAGGGAGCTGTGTGTTGGGAGCGAGGGGGGCCTCCAGTCAAAAGGTTGAGAACCACTGGTTTATGGCTATGTGGTTGAGGTTACTCCTGGCTTATGGCCTATGTAGGACCTATGTGTTATTCTGTATGCAGATATTGGGGGTTTCTGGTTATTAAGGCTGCACTTTGGAAAGTGGACTATAACCTATCTGCATTCATTTGGAGACTGTGACTGGGCTGTAGATGAATGTTCATTTATCCTGGTAATAGTTCAGGATTTTAACTGTGGTGTTACTGCACTTCCACCCCTACTTCCTGCCCTTCCCATGGTCTGAAGCAGACTTAATTTGAGTGAAAGGTTGTCTTTTATAGTAGAGTCCCTGCAAGCTCCAGCATCAGCACAGTCTCTTACTGGGCAAGGAGTGGGTGGGGCTGGACATGAGCTACCTTGGAAGCAAGACAGAGTTCATGCTTACCCATAAGCCAAGAGGAAGGAGTCTCCTGCTTGGTGGATGAATGGTGATAAGGCTTTGCTTTGGACTTTGGCATTCACAAGGTTTTTTTCCTTCAGATATAGCTGGAACCAGCACTGCCTTATACTTGATTAAATTCCTGACTTGAGATCCAGAAAGACTCTCTACCCTTCATGCATACGTTGCCTTTACAGAAGGTTATGAGGAGGGGATTGTCTGTCTGCCTGTCCACTGTTATGTCGCAGTGGAGCTCAGACACTCCAAATGTGCTTAGGGGTTCTGTTTTTGCACTGTGCTGTGCAGTGGGTGAGAGAGATTCCTCTGGTTCAAAACCTTGGTCTAATTAAGGTTGGTTTTTTTTAAAGTAATAAGCATTTGCTGTCCTGCTCTAAAATAGTAGCGGGGACTAGGTGCAGGCAGTTTTTACTCTGCAGCAGTAGAACAAAGTCTGCATTGTATGTTCGGCTCAGGTTTGATCCAAGATGTCAGGAGTGGATGAAAAGGTATAGAAATAAGGGGGCGGAAGAGCAAAGGAGAGTTGGTCTCTTAACCAATCCTCTGTGGTCACTGCAACACATCATCCATCACTTGTATGGGCATCTAATAAGATGGGGCCACAACCTGAGGAAGCAGCCAAACTAAGTGGCCTTTCTGGGGTGGGCTCTAATGCTTACTCTGCACCCATGTAGCACATTGTCCTAGGGGTCCCCACTAGATGGGCCCCTAATAGACTGTAACACAAATAATTACAGGGATAGTTATTGCATATCTGAGAGCTGGGACAAAACTCTCTCTGGGACTGTAGAGGAGGCAGTTGAACATCTTGCTGAAATGCAGCAGAACCTCAGTTCTATGCAGGTGGCCAAGAGAGTGGGGGATGGGGTTGTGGCTTACTGTGCTGCATCATGATGCTGTCTCGCTGATCAGCACACTGCAGAGATCAGGGAGACCAGAATCTTAGTAGTGAGTGAC